CCCCAAAACCCCAAAACCCCAAAACCCCGCGCAACTTATTAAATGAGTAATCCATAAAATAGATTTTGACTTCGATTTGCGTTTAATATAAGTACTTAAATAATATGAAAGAGAATTAATTTAAGTTAGCTTCAATTCCCTCTGAATATAAAAGCCTTCTTCAGACTTACTTTGCGCCAGCTAAAGGTACAAATTCCTAATTTCTTCAAATATTAATCCTTTATATCAAGACTTGCCAAAGTACGAGCCATTTCAGATGAGCGAAGAGAAGCTACAGTATGATTAGCTGTTTAGCTTTCACGATTATTTTCAAGATTGTATAAATGATTTAGCCGCTCTTTGTGACAGTTCTGGTAAACCCTACTTCTATTGAACTTTTAGATAAGGAGGAATAAAAGTTGCTTCATGATAACCTCGTCTTTGATGCTCATTTTGACGAAAGGAAACCATTGAACACGTAATTTCTGGGATATAAAATGATAAAAGCGCAATAAAATGAAGCTTTTAATCCTGATTTCTTCCTTCACTATAATACAATATTCAATACAAATAGCATTGCCATTGATGAACAGATCGATTGGCTATCCAAAGAGCTATCCCTAGTGAAATAACAATCAAAAAAGTATACTTCCCAATTAAAGAATAATATGCAAGCCTCTTAATTAGAGGAGGGCTAAAAGGATTTATACGTCAAGGCTAGGATTGACGGTGTCAGACAAACCTAGATAGAAAGCTTGATTTCATTAGAAACTAAATAGATTGCTGAGTCAATACAGCGAATTAAGGCCACAAGAAATCTCGGCTTTTAATAGGTTTAATAACCTTATCTATTCAGAAAACAAAGGTTTGAAAAGTTAAAGATCCCTCAAAATATTATAGGACGTGCATACCTATTAGAGTTTGACCCCTCGTTTAAAATGGACGATCAATGGGTCACGGATGTGTAGCTGCACTACCTAAATATACTGAGAGATGAGATGACTCTCTCTATCAGACAGTTCACTCAGAATAAAATAAAAAAGCTAATAAGAATTCAAGAGTAAGATGTGAAGAGAAGATAAATAAGATAATAAATATTTGAAGAGGAGCAAATGGGATTTTGTCATCATTGTAAGTAGTCTAAGACTACTTATATCATGGCTAAGTGTAATTATAAGAGTTAAGTTCATGGACTGCTTTTACCCTATCACCAAGAGATAAATTGCATATCCGTTCCAAACGTTGAGCCTCACAACACAGAACTTGTGAATCATTTTATTCTGAATAAAACTATATTGGATAAGAAAAAGAAGAAGCAGTACTAAGACTAGGTTGAAAATGTATGTGATAAATAATTCTGCTCATTCTGCCTAAAAAACTATTATGAGATATTTTTACCTGATGCCCAGAGTGATAAGGACTGGGTTTGTCCTTATTGCAAGGGCCACTGCTTTTGCTCAAGATGTATCAGGCAAGAACAACTTACTAGGGTAAGAGGTCTCTTGATATCAAATAGCATTAAAGACATTCAGAAATATCAGAGACAACCCTCCAAAGTATTAGAACAGTTAGTCAAATAAAACAATTTCATAGATAATAGAATCAAGCATAACTTTGAAAGGATTGTAAGAACCTGCAAAATTTCCCCATTAGCTGTGAAAGGAACCGCAGAAGACATAAAAATTCTCAATCAGCCGCTGTTTTTAGAACAACTGACGCACGAGGATCCTATAAATTATATATTTCACAATTAACCAATTAAAACTATTAACGTGCCTAAAACAAGGAGTTAATAGGATTTGAGACTGGAAACCAAAGTTAAAAAGATGTATGACTAGATGACTCAGGAAGAGAGAGAAAAAACAGATCAAGCGCTTCAAAAGTCTTAGAAATTTATAGATTAAATTCTTCAAACTCAAAAAGCCAAGAAAAGAGACGTTAAACTAATAAAGAAGGTCTCTTCACATGGAAGTGTAAATAAGAGAGTCTTAAATGACATAACGCTCTAGAAATTGAACCTATCACCTAAACTCAATCCCCCAAGTCTAATGTCATCAGCCCATAGTAATTCTACAGCAGATTCAGTAGAATTAGCTAAAAAATCTAGTGAATTAGATCAACAGATTCCTTAAAGAAAACCCAGATCTTATGCCAACAAACCCAAGAATAAATCAAAATAAATAAAAAAAGAAAAGAAGCTGGACATAAATAAAAAACATACCTAGAAAAAATAGAAATGTCTCAAGGGAAAGGCTAAAGGATAGAACAAAAGAGTAAGGACTTGAGATAAAATTTTGTAAACCTGCAAATAAATATACACCAAACCAACATAACCAACTCTATTGGAGATTGGCACTCTTATCTAATTCACTTTTTTTAATTCCATACTCCTCTGTCTGCAAATCTACTTATATTATACTTTACGGGGTTTTGGGGTTTTGGGGTTTTGGGGTTTTGGGG